TACCGACTTAACATTCATATTTCCAGTGATTTTGTTAATTCACACGTTTATTTATGTGTCCAATATAATAAATATATTTTACTTACGTCATTACCTCGTGTGAAACAATAATTTTATTCTTTAATAGCGTTGCTTTAAATAATAATATGAACAGAATAAAAAAAAACTTTTTTAAAGTGAAAGAAACGTTACAAATTTTATACAAATAATGTCAACAGTATAAAAGTGTTACTTACATTTTTATTAACATTAATGTCACTTAAATAAATAACCAAAAATAAATAATCAATTTAATACATTTGCAATCAGCAATATCGATAAATCGTAACACAATACTTTCATCGGCTTCGGCTCCGAAAAAAATTAACTAAATTATCATTAATTTTAACAAATGGCTGAACAAAGAGCAAGTTCGAGTGTTGGGTGAGTATCCTTCGCAAGCATTATGGTTAAAGAAGGGTAGAAGACAAACAAATCGATATTATAACGAGCGCCCTCCTGTATCAAGAAATATTTGTTATCATTTCGAAGGGATTATAAAAATTATCTTGTTTCAACAAAAATGAAATGGGATTCTTAACGCTTAAAAATACTATGTAGGTGTGTAACTGAGAAATTAAATAGAATTATATAATATGTATGTCGTTGTTAAACTTAGCTTAATGACCCAGTAAGCTGATTAAAATATATTATAGAATACTAAATTCACTGAACCCGAAGGGTCACGACAAGTTTGTTTCCTTTACTTACAGTGAAGATCGGTTTTTTCACGCTAGACAATAATTTAAATTGTAATAAATTAAAATTTCACATGAGTTAATGTTATTATTATATGAATCTATTACATTTTATAACTAATTAATGTATTAGCTTTGAAATTTGTATATGTCATATGTAAGTTACCGCTTGAAGGATGCGATAAATTTCATGAGAGACATATTTCGTCGATGGATTAAAATGATTGTTAACAGTGGCATATACATATGTATAAGTATATTAATATAACAAAATATAACTCATAACATATATTTCTTTGTAAACATTATTCAAAACAAAACAATATGTTACATAAAAGACATGAAATGTTTTGTTCAGTGAAAGGTGTAAGTTACTTTATAACACTATTAAGACAATCCTATCATATATTCCAAGCAGTTTTCTTAATGGCATGTAACAATAATTAAGATTGCAGTCATTTTTTTTCACAGATGTCTTTTTCAATAGACCTGATACACAATTAGGATATTAATAACAATGAATGTGCTTCATGTTCCGAAAGTGAACTCTAATGCGTAAATATATTCAACTTACTATGTGAAAGCTGATTTTCTAGACTAAGTTTTTACAATAAAACTCTGTCATATATGTATTTCATTTGTAAGAAAAAAGTGAAATTAAAATAATCTTATTTGTCAACTCAAACTGAACCATCAACCGGAGTACTCAATGTTTGAGGCATGACACTTGAATTCCAAACATCAGAGTACTCATTTATATAGAGATTTTAAAACCACTCAAAGTAATACCATTCAGAAGCATAGAACAGCACATATGTAAAAAATGATTTTACAACAACAGTGTGAAATATCCAATACAATTACATTATAATAGAAGCCTTCATTACTTATCTCCGTCATATGGAAACCATGATATATTATTTGGTCTCAGAAGTCGTCTTGTTATAAAACATGAATGAAATTCATAAACAAACATACAAGATTTTATGTAGACAGTTTTTTTTTTGATAAATGAATGAATTTGATTTTTCATATTTATTTATTTTTTTGTGTTATTTTATTTTGTTTTACTTATTACTTTAAATAAAAATTATAGTTTTATGAACATCATTATAATTTTAATGTGGTTTACTCGTGAGTTATTAATTTTAGTATATTTTTGACTTTACATTACCTTTTTTCACATATTATTAAATTACGCCAAGACTTCGCTTCTGAAACGAAAACGTTATCAGCATTAGCTCTGAATCTTAACATTATGTTTGATTATAAGAGAATTGAAATAAATCCAGTTTTTATTAAACTTTTCAAAGAACATAATGACATTATTAAATCGATAATAATGTATCAGAATTGTTTTAAAGTTTGTGTACATCGTCATGGCGAGCAGATTACAAGGTAGGCTAATGTAAAATCCCGGTACACTCCGGGGTATAAATCATAAATTGCTGTTTAAATTCGGCGTAGCGTAAACTGTTACGGTAACGATTATTTGGAATCGAGCCGCTGGAGTGTGGAGATAAATCTCTCCCCAAGAAACAGATTTAAACAGGCCATCAAGGAAACGTATATGAGATCTGGTAATACCATCTACGAGACGAATATTAAATTACTCTCATGTTATTGCATCTTGGATGTTTGAGCTTTTTATTATACGGAATATTCTGCATTATTATACAATAATATTAGAATTTGTGTTTGGTGATGTAGTTCTATTAAGTTTTTAATACGTTATATCAAACAACTAGTAACGCGCCCCAGCTTCGCACGAGTTCTTTGCAGAGAATATAAATATGACCTGTGTGACTGCGAGGTGATTTATCTTTCGGTAAAATCCGTTTTTGAGTTTGTCGCGAACAGACAGACAGATAGACAGTAGCATCAAGAGATTTTGTTATATTCTGATAATAAGAACAAATACCGTTTTTATATGAAAGGCTTACAAAATAACGCATTGTAATTGGACATCGCTTGAAGTATTAAAATGGTTTTAGTGAGTTTTCCCTAAGAGATAGACATTCACCATCGGAGACTTGTAGGCCTACATAAGGTTCACAACTTCACTATACTTTATTTCGTTATATTTCCTAGGGTTTATTCAGGAAAATTTACGACATAAATTTAGAAACCTCTAAAATAAAAAAACTTCCTCTTGAATCAGTCTATCTATGATAAACATCGTAACCAAATCCGTTGCTTATGTAGTTGAAAAGATCTTAAATACAAAAGAAGTGGAACACACACTAGAGACATTTTTTATATCATGTAGTAAAGAGAAGATAATAGGAATTAGAAACAATTATAACTAAGAAATTAGTACTTATACATAACCAGCATTTTTGTTTAACTTATATACAAAGGTATACTTATATACACTTGCACAGTGTCTCAGATATCTAGGAGTAGATTTTATTTACAGAGGGTTCCATAAATAGAGATAAAAATAATGGCTATTTTAGTTATAGAAGTACGATTAATAGTTAAAATTTTAATTAAACTATTATTTTCGGATTACTATGACCACGGTTACTTTGCAGCAACCGTGATCACGGCAGACGAGATGTTAATTTTCTTTTAGAAATATATATTTAGTACAAAAAGAAAACAGGATGTATCTATCATAAATATCGAATTTCTAAATATGATATTTCAGCCAAACTGAAACTCACAAGTCTTTAAGACTTAACAGAACTCACGTGGTTAACAAGAAATTTACAGGTGTAAAAAAGTAAGTAAGTAAAAAAACTATACTATCATAGTTAGAGAGGTTATTCAATGCTAAGGTGGTGGGAGTTGAGCTTGAGTTTGGAAGTTTTCTCACTTATCCAAGTTTCACTATATCAAAAACTTTCTGTATTTATATACTTACAAACAAAAAACACTAAAGATCCAGAGAAGCAATCAAGAGAGAATTAGTTACTTTAAAGTATATAGCAGAATGATGGATAATCGCCTGTACATTTAATTTTATCAATACACTTACAATACAATACAAGCAAAATACAGTAATTAGATTTATGAAGGATGTAGAATTTTCCAAAAAGTACTCTATGAGTGAGACCCCGAATTAATACGATTACATTGAATTTGATAATATAAAATTGTATTGCAAATATGTTAACAAAATTTTATATATGTTTGTGAGCCGCGAAACTTGGTGTTTTTACGTGGTGTATGAACCCCCCCCCCTCCTCTCCTCCCCCCACTTTATAAAACTGTCATCCAATTAGGATACAATATTATTAAAATTTATTCCTATGAAAAGCAAATTCAATCCTCATTTTTTGTTTGTTTTAATTTCATTATGCTTTCATTCATATCATGAATTTTTTTCGTACGAATGTTATACATCGAAAAAAAAACTCGTTCATATTTCCAATATTCCAGTGAGAATATATGTTGATGGTCTTTTGTTTCTGGATTTAAAAAAAAAACTAAATAGAATCAGTGTCATTATTCCCCGAACGTACATTTATTATCCAGAAAATATTTATAACAAAAGCCTTTTTCTATAGAATAAAATATTTATAAAAGTATTATATACAACACACTTCACCACTACCAGATTAAGCGTTAAAATTATTGCATTTATTTTCAAGCACATAATATTTTCCGTAGTCGCCGCATAATTATATAACGTACATTTTATGTCATCTCAATTTCTTTTAATACGAAATGGTATCAAAACTTATGTCATATTAAAAATTAATAAGAAGTAGAGATTCTATAAACTGATATATAAAATAAACTCTTATGAACTCACACCTGGATATAAAATGTACTGATTATACTCATTAATACTCACACACGATTCATTTCAATGCGAACAGGCATTTACTCTGTCAATTTGTATTTGAAGTGCGGTTCCCATCTTGAGATTTATAAGAACTTTGTATATCATGCCTCCAACTGACAGGTAATAACTTTATTAACGGTATATAGTAGTACATTTTATTAATAACTTTTATTAATAATTCAATTGAAGCATTCTTATCATGTTTTTAGATGACTTATCAATACATTTATTTCTATTATATAAAACAGATCACAAACGAAATTAATATTATGAGTCTATATTAAAACATCAAAAACTCAGCACACAGTTATCATAACAGTTATTTGATATCGATGTTCATTACCGAATCAACATGTCACATTAAAACATCTTGTGGATATAAATCTGCAAAAATTCAATGTAATCAAATAAGAACCTTAAATAAAGTGTAGTTGAGATGATTATTGCGTGTAGTTACGTTTGTTAATATGATGTTTCGAGTGTGTTTTAAGAATCTCAATCAGCAGTCGTCAAAGTGGGATGATCAAAGAGTTGTTGAAGCTGATTTCCCAGCAGGTATTGCGAATCACTATAATGTAGATCATTGATGTTATTTGTACTATTTTATTGGAAACGAGAACCAGGAAGATTATTTTCAACCTTAGAATATATAAATAAAACACATTTGTACTCACTTCATCCCTAAAGTATTTCAACCTTATTTACATATATACGTATTAGATCAATTCAACAACAATATAATTTACATTACTATATCAAATATTTTATGTAAACGCTAGAATTTATTCACAAAATAACGTTATAAATAAAAATGTCCAGCAAACAAATCGAACACGAATTTATATGTATGAGGGTATGGACCAAATTAGGTGGCAGGTGCCTTTAAAGTTGCCGGGATCGAACCGAGACCCTCGGGACAGCCTCCCTTTGAATAACACTCACTATCACACACAAAACCTTCAATAGAAGCTGTTTGATTGACAATTTTGTCATTCTAAAACCCGGGTACTAGAGATTGGACGCTTAAGGTTAAACTATTTGTAACTATTAGTCGGCTTGGGCAGTGAACCACTAAATTAGTTATTTATATTAACAACCAGTTGAAACAGATTAATTAGTTTTAAGAAATTGTTTAATCTTACGATATACAAATGATTTACCATAATTAAATTAAGCAGTGGTTGTCCAGCTTCACAACTAGTAAGATTTTAAGGCTTCGTCGGAAAAATGACGTCTTATTGTGACGACAAATAGATTTAAATCTAATAAGACCAAATATTTTTATGGAATTTTCATTAAAAATATCTATATTTATAACACAAACTTCGTTACATAATAAGCGTAATATATACCTATATTTATCTTTCACAAATTTAAATATTACAATAAACAAAAAAAGTTTCCAATTAATATTAAAATCAATTAACCGCAGCTAAATATTTATGTGCAATTGCATAAATTTTTGATGCAAATAAGACTGTATTCCCGGATCTGACATAAATTATTCCCACAATTTGGGACTTCACACAAAATTAACTTAAAAAGGAAAGGCTACAATGATGACGGCGACGGGCTGGTTTCACGTCGCTAATTAAGAAGGGAGTTAAAACAATTCATTAAGTATAATAACAAAACTTTAATTAATTTCAGAGCCGCGGGTCGCTTGGTATGGACAAGCGAGATTACTCTGCCTTATAATATGATATTTTTATCTGAGCATCACAACGTTCAAACGGTTTGCAAGCTCTGGTTATATTTGATTTTTGTACCTTTTGATTTTAATATTAATAAAAATATCAGTTTATAATAAAAATTAGGGCACTAAAGAAATCATTATGTCGAAATAAAAAAAAATAACGTTAATTTTATACAGAAACATTAAAGTCGCAACTCAAAACGAAATTACGTAGGGATTTTTAAAATATGTGGTGACATGCAACACAACGACAGGCTTCCTCTATTAAAATGGAATGAGGAAATTTCTATGAGCTTTAAAAGCGTTCAAAAATTCCCAGCGAGTATGAATGAAATGCATTACGTCAATACGGTGCTACGGCATTTAGCTACGTGACGGATTTATGAATTCAACGTTTTGGATTTACACCGCAAATCTTCGGTGTGGCTGAGAACTCTGACAATGCGACGTTTAATGAAGCAAATATTCTTATCGGAATAACAGTTTATATATCTGTGTGTGTGTGTTATAATAACATAATAAAATACATATGCTCTAAGTTACAATTTATTGATCTAATACCAGAAAGTGATAGGTCCTAATATCAAATCCCTTATAAAAATCGACCCAAATCGTCTCAGCGACCGTTCTTAGGACAGAAGATATAAATCCTATAAAAGAATGTGACAGCATCATATGAATTACAATAATGAATGTAATGTAACGCATCGTGGGCTCTATTTGCCGAAGTTACGACGCTCGCGTGGCGCTGCATAATGTAAAAATATGTCAAGATAAAACCGAATCTGAGCTTCGAAGGTTCGGTATACCGAAGAACAATTCTCTTTCTCTTATTTGTGCTATAATAAATATTATACTCGCATACAAAATAATGATATTATTCAATCGACTTATAGAATTTTAGACACTGCTCCACTATTACCTAAATAATTAGTGTCTAATCTGTCTTCATAAAATAAAGAAATTCCTTACAAAGATATTTGAATGTAAAGGGCTGCTTAGAAAAAAACATCTTTAATTACATTTTTATACATATTTATAAGTACTTCATTAAACTCAAAGTTAGTTTTTTTCTTCATGTCATTCTCAATACTCGTATATCTGTCATCGAAGTGTTTTGTCACAATTCGTAAAATCTTACTTTTTTAATATCTCGTAAATTTATATTTGACAAAGATAGTAACTACTTTAATTCTGTTTTCTTTAATTAATACCCTTCATAGAATTTAAGAAATAAAATATAAAATCAGTAACATCTGCCGCATAACACACTTGTGATTGCTTTAGCGCCATAAATTTTAAAACGAAATTTATTGTATATATACATATATATTATGTCTTTTTTTTTTTGCGGAACCCTAAAAAGTACCTTCCAGAAGCATAGGCGCTGGTTTATGTATAAATTTCGTGTCATTTTAAGTAGCTGAGTTTACAAATAGAAATAAAGGAAATTGTGATTTTGCTTGTTATATTTTCTGCTAAGCGTTGTCGCCATGATTTAATATATGTTTATACATATACAAGTATATAAACTGAATAATATATTTTAAATATTTATATTTGCAATACGTTGGTTTGCCCTTTTTAATGTATTTATATACGTACTTATGGCTTAGACACAGAATCCTAACTGTTATTTATAATAACAAGACGTGATATATAATTCAGAGCTAATAAAACTGTTGAGTTCATTCGCAACTTTCATCTACAGTAATAGAAGCACAAAACGGCTATAAAATGGGTAATAAAGTAAAAAACTCGCCCAGTGCGGAACATAAACACACTAGTTTCAGTTGTAAGAAAACATCGTAAACGATTACAAGTCAAGTATTATACTGGACGCAAGTCACAAGAGGAACCACCTTAGTATATTTATATACGAGATATACGCTGTACCCATTAAGATGGAAAATATTGTCATTAAAATAACATATTGATAGATAAAATGAAATAAAATATGAAAAAACGTACATATATTCACAAATGAACAATAAACAAATCGCTATCTCCCAGGACTGGTCCTATTTCAATTTTCAATACGGCCCCGGTTCCCAATCAGTGACAGTCACTTATTGAATTTTGTTGTGCTCGAGAAAAGTTTCAATAATTCCTTAGATCGGTGGAAAACTTTATCAATTTCCGTAACGGGAATATCGGGATGGAATTCGGCGTCGAAGTGGAGCGCTTGTATCGTAGGAACAAGTTCCTTTTTTCCTTTTCAGACTTTACAAAGTTTGTAACGCAATTAACATTATTTTTACGTTTCTATTTTGATTTCCAATGATATTTCGAGTTGAATCTTCACAATTCAATAAGTCTCCAGGTAACTTTTCAATAATGTTTTTTTAAAACAGACTGTTTATATTAATTAACCCTGAGCTCATTTTATATGTTACAAAGCCAGCAACGAATATGTGATCTTTTTGTATTTAGGAAGGAATATAACTGATAATAATTAGGCTTAGTATGGGATAAAGAAATTTCGACCAAGCCACAAAAGGCCAGATGCAATCTTTTTACTTCAAGGAAGCTCTACGTAATCTGAAGTTAAAATAAATGACCAATCATACCAAGTGAACAAACAGAACAATTATATTTAATTAAAAATCTAAATTGTAAACAGTTTTCAAATGGATATACAACATGTGAAACAATTGTCTTATGTATCTTCTACAGTACATTCAACTTAATATTTGGCAGAAAGAAATAAAACCTAAATTATATTTGGAACAAAGTGGCTTTTAAACTGAAACAGGGCTCAAAAGCTTTCGTAAAAGCTCATTGCGATAACGATAAACACGTATGCTTGTTATAAAAGCCTTAAGCTGGCTTTACTTTATTCGAACTTAATGTACGGACGTAAAAGGAATAGCAAATAGACCATATTACCTTCAGAATATTATATTAAGTGCTTCAAACATTTTAAAGGTAAATGATTTCATTTCTGAGGATTTAATACGTTGTTGTGTCTGGATATCACATTTTCATACTCGTGTTACATTCAATGTACTGCTTCGTGAATAAATTTAATTATTTATTACACATTAAAAGTAATCATTTATTTTAAATTGCACGGTTTTTCAAAAATATATCTTTAACATATTAGGAGTATAAGTTTTATACACAATTTCATTGAACAAACTAATTGTAGTACAATTTCTTTATTCAAAATCGTTGAAGCAATTACAAGGACAAAATAAATAGAAATGTGTAGGACATTTCATTTCAGACTTCTTACCGTTACTAATAAACATGCTAAGGTACAGTTTTATAGGATTTTTCTTAGTGGTCATAAGAGAAGATAATATTGTTTAAAGAATAAAATTCATAATATGAGGTTATGATTGATTTAGTGTTATTATGTTTTACAACGCTTCATATTTGAACGTTGCCGATCAAACACAAAACATCCTGTATCTGTTGCAGGAGTTACCAATCCGTACCCTGTAAGAGTAATACATATTTTCGATACAATTATATAGATCTAAATGTAAGGTATGAATTTTTTTTAAACGTCCTTTCTCTAAAGATAAAAAGTATATTTTGTGTTTATTTAGTTTGTGATAAAAAAGACTTCAAGCCATACACAAATAATTAATTTGTCTAGTCGTAAGATATTTTTGAAACTTAAAATTATCTTATTTGAACTTATGTTACGAGAATTCAATATATAGATAGTTACTTTATACATATATATTCAGCCCCTGATGTTGCGTGCACCCTTAGCCAGCCGTACGAACGGATATGTGAAAACATTCCTATTTGTATTAGAGAGCTACTACAAATAAAATATCAATTAATGTTTGTTTACACACAGTCAATATGCAATACATCAAGTGTACGAGCGAATTTAGTTGCAACATGTTTCTATATTTTTAATTAAAATAATTATACGATGTTTGAAGTAAACTGAAAATGGATTTAGATTGATTGAAAATATGAATAGTCTACTTGTACATTCATATTTTTCTAAAATCATTTTGTTTAAATAAGAAATAAGAAACTAATTATGTTTTAATTTTCAACAGTTACTATATATCAAAGACGAAATTAAACTTTTTAAAGATTCATTCAATCTAATTTCGATGTTTTTATTTATATACAAACAAAACAATTATTCAAAATAGACGTACAACAAACGCTAGACGAATACGTATTGAAGAATAATGAAGACATAAACAAGACACTCAGTGATGTTTAATTCAAATGTCTGATATTCAATAAACACGAAAACATTTCTTTAATATATAACCCAAATATATAAAAACAAAATGACAAATTAATATCGACGGTCTCGTTGTATCTAACGAGGAAAATATCGATGTTCTAATCAAATATTCCGAACCGCTTATGATTCATGGTCGTTTCCCTCATTGATATACATAAAAATGTATTAAATCATATGAAAGTTTAGTCCTTTATCATGAGGCCTTAGAGGCCTAAGCAGATTACCATCGGCTTCGAATAAATCAGACTAGTAGCTTCCTGCGACTATCGTTACATATCAATTGATATCAAACTAAATGACTCGTTAAGAAAACGACCCAGTGGCTAAGTTGCAGTTTTGTTATTATTTTTTTGTTTAAGATATTTGCTGCATGTGTGAAAAGTTTGTAGGATTCACTTTTCGGTGGTCTCCTATGGAATATAAAGCCCAGAATTGTATGCTACAAAAAGTATAATTTTCTGTTTTCTAACTGTAAATGTTAGAAACACACATATATTTTATTATCCAGGATCGCTCGTACCCAGCCGTATATTATTTTTATTTATGGCGGTCCTCGCCCACCCCTGTCCTCTGCCGATTAATCAATTCGGTACAAACTAATGGATGTTTTCCTTCGCCTAATGACCTAGCCACATTCGTGTCCGTGTCGAATGCTCCCAATATCATATAATTACTCTGGGATGTTTTACGATATTTATATTTCAATTTTTGCGATACCACCGTGCTTTGCCAGCGACTTTTTCATGAGAAGAATCCTCCATGCTTTACTTAACACATAACACACAAATATATATAATAAGCTCTACTTCCCACACTTATATGTAAGCTATTGAAGAACTAAGAAAGACTACGTTGCAATATTTACTTTAAACCACAATATGTTTTTGGACAGCTCCTTAGATTTTAAACTTCCTCATCAAAAACTAAAAGTGCGAATTCATAAAACTTAAAGTATGAATTTGAATGAACAATTTAACAGTTCCCTTTGCTAGGGCTTTTTACAACTTTTACTTCAACGTACCTTTGAGCTGGCGATCATTAAAGAAAGCAATTATTTTCGTTTTTTTTTCCCTTCAACTTCTTTGTTCTAACTTTGTTTAATTGTCGAAGTTAGGCGACCACGTCGGTGAAAATTTAACGAATTCTCGATGAATAAATTGAGTTCATTTCTGTATTTACTTTTAATTAATGCGTTTATAAATACGACCATTAATTAATCGTTAAAACAAAAAAAGCAATAACGCCTTGTCATTATTGTAATTATACTGGGATTTTAATTGGATGCAATGTTATTAGCAAAAAATAGAAGAATTGTATCCTTTAATAATAATTTAGTAAAGTCTTTCATTTATCAAATTAAAGTATGAAATGGGAAAAGTTTCTAGATTTTGTTATATCACATTATCTCATTATTATTTTAAAACATTGTAGCGTTCGTTAAATTATCAATATGAGGTATCACAAGTTTTGCCTTCAAGGTTAATCGTGACCGTCATCTTTAAATCATATTTAATGACTGTCTCATGTGCTACTTTAGCAATATTTATGACTTAAACTAAAATATAGTGTAATTTACCTTTTTGATACAGAGGTCATCAACAACCTATACAATCATTAACCTCAGCCTCGCTCTGGTTAAAGAGATCAAATGTTGAAATCCCAACAAATTACAGAGCCTACCAAATGACCCTTACTAAAGGAAAAGACATACAGAGTGTTTTTCTCCATCTAACTTTTTTCAATAGGAGAAAAGAGTTTCCAATAGGAAACTATATGTCCCCAGTACATATTAGTCCACTATAATATCTTCAAATCCCGAATAATTACGACAATGCTTCCCCTGCTTCTTTTTGCAGAAATTTGAAATATTTGTCATCCCATCCCAGCTTTTATACAGAAACTATCTTATCCCCGATTGCTTCAAATCAATGTTCCAAGATTCAGAAATCGGTCGTTGCGGTTTAGCTTTTGATTCGCCTACTAATAGGATTCATTTTCATAGTTGTATCTCAATCACTATTTTTGGATATAAATGTTAAGAATTCTCTTCTACTGCAAAGAAGAAACCAGACACCGCCCACTCTTACTTCTGGCCATAACTAATATATTTGTCTTTATCGCTACGATAATCTTGAGTTCAAGAAAGTGCTCAAGAGACCATGCAGATATTCTAACACATAATAAAGAGTATAGTTGAGTCCTGACTTATACAACACAGGTTTGTTATCTAACTAACAAAATATGTTTGTCTTGTCAGGACTCAAACAATGCAGCTCGGAAGATCGGGAAGTTATGTTACGGCCCAACGAGTAGTCTATACAGGACGTTACCGTCTTTACGGAACATTTCCTTGCGGTTCGTGTTTTCAGTAATGATGAACATCAGGTTGTATTCAACATAGTCTACGAGAATAAAGGGTTATGGGTACTACCTTTCCCCTAAGAAATTCGGTAACCTGAACCCTCAAATATTGTTTAACGTCCATTTAACACGTGATTGTGTCTGTTGCTTTTACTCTCATAGGTCACAGTAAAAGTAATTTATTATGGTTAAGGATTAAAAAAAAAATATAGAGACTAGACATAAACAAGCTAATTAATTATTAAATAGAATGCAATGGAGATAAATATAATACGTTCATAAAACATAAAACAACATAAAATAATAATTATTATAACTTAAAATTTTAAAGTACTAATCTGTACATTATAAATATGGAATTAATTGCTTCTCTTAGTCAAAACGAAGCGAAACTATATATTCAGTATATTATACAAACAATCCAATTTTATTATACATACGATATCGTGACAAGTCGGTATAAAGGTATGAACAGGCGAAGTATAAGCTTCAGAAAAGTTATGAAGCGATTAGTGGTTAATACTGCAGGTTTACGAGCTCTTCAATAAATGATAATAGATGTGTACATGCCCTTATATCGTAAACAACTTTTATTTGCGAGCTGAAACCACGATTACCTTCGTGAGAATTGTTATACCGAGTGTATTATGATGTATGTTACGATTACTTTGGAGAGTACAAATGTTTTTTGAATCGGTACTGGAATCTCTGATAGTATTTCTTCTAGAATTGAGCTTACATTATTTCCTTTACAATAAATTAATGTTGAACGAATTATTGAATTTAGTTTTGAATAAATAACATAAATAAAATATTCAACGACACGAGCAGGATTCGTACGTTTGTCCCCCGGAATATTGCGTCCCAATAACTTTGCCAATTAAGCAATCGGACCTTCACTCGACTTGGTATTTTAGCCCCTCTATATTTTGTAAAAATATATGAAGACGGTTCTTTATCTATGTAGTTTTCTTTAGAAGTCTTAATTAATATGAAGGAATAATGTAGGGTGGCAACCGGAGGTTCCAATAAAGCTATGAAGCTTACTAATACATATGTATATTAGAATAAACATTACATTTTACAACTTATAACCTAAACCAAAGATTGCATGATTGCCCCGATGTTAGGATATCAATGCCATTCCATTGCTTGTGTGGTTTCAGGATTCTTCTGGTTCACACGGCTTGGTGTTCGTTCCGCGGAGCCAGCGGCAACACTCGTAATATGATATTTTACCCATACAAGATGTTGCCCCGGCGATGTTCATTTATTCCTTAATATATACGTAATATTAAGGAATAAATGAACATGTAACGTATAATATGCACGTACGTAACAAACTCTTCCAACTTTTTGTTAACATCAAATGCTAAGTTCCTAGTATTTCATGATATATATTTTTATATAATTGGATTACATATAATACATAGATAAGACACACAACTAATATCAGAGCCTCACAGCGAGTGTCAGACGCTGCAATTAATCTATCGGCCCTCTGATGATTTATGTTATTATACCAGAGTGCATTTGTGGCCGTACAGGTTAGCTTAGGACAGATGACAACTAAACATATGCATGTATTAAAATATGAAGTGGGAGTTTGTATTCATTTATTACAAATGTATCTAAAATTTAATATAAATCAATATATTTTGTATACTTTACTGCTTTTGCCTCTTCTTGGTTAAAATAATTGAAAAACGTAATTTCCTTTTTATTTATTTGATTTTTACTTAAAATTTTTATTTTACGTTCAATATATTTTTATTAATTGAGTATTGAGTAATTTAGTAAGATGGGGTAAAAGTACCGAAAAAACTTGCTATATCTGTGGAAAGGCAGTTGGAACTGCTAAGCATCTGCTGGTGGGATGTAAGGTACTCCTGGACAGCGGTCAATACTCGCGTCGTCACGATAGGGTTCTAGAAGTCATACGTGAAGCGGTTAGTCTTTCGGTAGCCAGAGCGCAAAAGGAAATAACCACAAACGAACGATCAGTAGGTTTTGTGAGAGAAGGCACTAGGGCTACAAAATCAAACGTCAAGCCTTACTCCATCCTTAAAGCGGCGTCGGATTGGACTATAATGATGGACACGTATGAAAAGCAATATAAAATCCCCGAGGATATTTGTGCGTCGGCCTCCAGACCGGATATATTTTTGTTTTCGCGAATTTTAAAGCGCGTAGTGATGATAGAGCTTACGGTCCCTTGGGAAACCAACATCCCCAAAGACCATACCATCAAGGTCAACAAATATTACGAGCTCACAAACGAACTCACTCGAAATAGGTTCGTAGTAGATTTGTACGCGGTAGAGGTGGGAGCGAGAGGTATAACAGCGAAATCTCTCTACAACCTACTAAAGGACTTGGGCTTGTCCAGAACTCACATTAATGCATTCTTGGAACGTATATCGAAGGCAGCCCTAGTAGGTTCTTTTCAAATTTGGTTAGGTAGGGAGAGGAGCTTGGACAGTGGAGGTGAGCGTATAACGCGCGTTAGTTAAGGGGCCCCTTAAACCTACAGTTTCGTCTCTGCAAAAAAAAATATTTTATCTTTCTACTTTGGCTTGATTTTAAAATCTATTACAATGCTCAATGTAGTAGCAAATGAAAGAATATTTAAAAGAATAAAAAAATCATGACTGCGATTAAGTAATTATTTATTTGAAAAGCAAGCAATCATTATTGTCTAATTTTGTTGCATACTTATCCGTATTTCAAGAAGCCATGACTGAAATTTAAAGCAAGTTACTCTTAGATTTATAAAGATTTAAAAGTTCCACATATTCCAGTGTAAAGTGCTCAAATATCAAACAATATCTCACATAGACTTATTAATTTACTCGGATCTCAGTGCACGTGTTGTGAACGTTATTAATTATCAAAACCACAAAATTTACAACGTCGTATGTCACATGTAACGAGCTCGTAAAAGTGTGAGGGAAAGTCAAATAAGTCGCAGATGTTGATGTAAATCACTTTTATATAAGAACAAATAAAATAAGCTGTTAAAATGCATATATTATATATCCTGTCCTCATAGTTAAAGTCATATTATGAGTTAATTTATATTATTGTAACTTCTCACAGGCAATATGTTAGCAATCGTGTTACTCTGTGCCATCTATATACAGCAGTATGTGCCTACATATTATTATTGGCTTAATTACGTGACCCGAGGCCATCGTTAATACAATCTAATCCAGCGATTGAAAATAATTACCGGTGAAATTATTATCGCAAAGCGTTTCAATTAAACAACACACCGAATACGAAATCATACCGTATTAATAATAATTCCTTAGTTAATTAGATCAATTATTGGAATGCTATAAATATATAAAAGGGATGAAGTTTATATAATTTCTTTCTCGCTGGCCGTTGAAGAGTAAATCTAAAAAATTTTTGATTATGGATGTTGTTAAACATATTCATTGTAAAACTAAAATAAATATATCTCATATCTTATCCTTGATGATAGAATTGACTCAATTTTTAACCTGACTAAAGAATCTTTGGTATAATTTTAAATAAAAGCTCCCATCTTTCATCTCTCGCGGGTAAACTCAACTCTGAAACGTTTGCAGTCAGGAAAGTAAGACAATTAAGTCACGTGAAAACAGCTTAAGTCGTTTCTTTTAAATATTTTCATAGTAATTTTCCTTGTTTTTATTTCCAGGGAGTGTAAAATTCTTCATCAGTCTTAATAATATAAAAATATTCCTAGATATTTTGATTTAATAATTGGTTTGAGACTTATTCCCAAAATACACTTTAAAATTCATATTATATGATTGGAAAGATTTAAAACCTGGAACTGATTTGAGTGGCCTGCTAATTGTAATATCCTGCCTATTCAATGTTGAGTGTTTTATAGCTATGTGTATTTTATTGCTATTATAACTGTATCTAATATCTGTTTTCAAGATAGGCTTCTTAATCAGTTGTAGCTTCATAAAGAACCCACTATGTAAATTAGATTATGTAATTCGATGACAATATTTCTATATTTCTATGAAATATTTCTGTTTCTTGATAATATTGTATTTTGTTGAGATTTGATTGGAAAAATCCTGTTAAACATCAAACCAATCCTATTTTTAAACTGAATAATAATCGTTTATTTATTTATATAAGGACAACTTACAAAACATACACCATTTATAAGTTTTAAAATAAAGATAATTACATTTTTAGCTAAGTGTTGTTTCAGTTAAAAGTTATCACGGCATGGAAAAGGACAGTATTTTCAATTAATCTTTTTTTTCTACTTAAATTATACAAAAGGGGAAATTAAAATTATACAAAATTAAAATTATACAAAAGGGGAAACAAAAAATACTACAAATACAATATAAAATGTAAAATCGTTGCCTCATCTTCACTCCATTCAAAGCGTGATCTTGAAAAACGCCAGCTAAATCAGGTAAAGCAATATTTTATTTTAATTTTCTTCAGTTTAAAACAATATTGTAGAATAGAAATATAAGAAAAGCAATTTCCGTGCGGTGTCGTGATTTATGACAGCCGTACGGTCGCGGCTTGACAATTAGACGCCCGTATAAGTTGTTTGTCGCGCGATTACGTGATGGAAACAACAAATGAGTTGATGACACACTGAGCACTATTAAAAACACACTAAAAATGAACCATAAATACACATATAATAATGAGATTCAGTAAACAAATATCGGCTTTGAATTAACTGGAATTGTTAATGTTATTAATGAAAAATATAAAATATTCAAATCTCCAAGTGTCCCACCATCCTTAGGCACGTGTGTTGAATTATGGTTGTGATGATATCCCGAGAACTGCACCAGCAATTAGAAGAATAACACTGCAACTGTGTATTAAATATAATATCATTGAGAGCTCTAAACGAGCTTCAAGAACTGCTTATTTTTTAAGAACTACATCAGAAGTATATTATTACATAAAAAAGTTTGTATATGTGTGTTAACATATGTATATGTGTGCGTGAGTATGTGTAATTTGATAAACATGTAAAAGATTAAACCAAACTAATTTCCTGCAGAAAAATATTAAACTTGGTACCGATAAAAAAATGTAAATATTTTAAAATTTCTGCCAACGTATTCAAAATCTGATTGAAATTATTCGACGAGATCATTGATTTGTATCTCAAATATTAATGTATAATAAAAGATTAGAAGTATTTACTAATTCAAGAACAAAGTGTTCTCATAAAACAGGCAAGATTTACAAGAGTTAATACAAGTGGCATAGCGTCCGTTTATAGCAGCAGTAAAAATACGCTGGGGGCGGCAAACGGAATTATTTAGGAACACGATTTACAACCAACTAGTTATATTATTAACTATTTTAAATTATCAGCCATATAAACTTTTTTACTATACAAATATTACAGTACAGTTAGATAAGCTTAAATATTATTTCTGTAGTAAAAATAACATTATCTTTATAAAGTCTATTTCTTAGTCATTGACAAAAAACAAATAAAATAATTTTCTTATATTTGCAATGATTTAATGTCTTCCAAATTTCATAGTTTTGCTTAACTTTTAGAATAAGGCTTAACCAAGAAATAAAACCAAGTTTTCGTCATAAAATGTAAGGGTGATTGCACACACGGTTACAGCTGACGGGCCATTTACAAGCTCCGAGTTTCTCAGTAATATATTACTGCATTCAGTAACCATATACCAGGGTATGTAGTCACAGAACAGATATATGTTTGAAAATAACTTGAATTCAAAATTATTACCAATTAAAATAGATACTATTTAATTTAATAATTTTAGCATTATCAGTATATTAATAACATTATTATGTAATATCATTTTTATTCTCCTTTAAGTATATGACATTTGATAATTCAATTTTATTTTTGTAAGACTTCTATATATCTTATTTTTTTATTATGTACTTGTATCACATGCTTGTAATAGATTTAAATAAATTATTTTATAACAATTTAAACATTAAGTTTATGAAACATAATATTCCACTTTTTGTATTTTTGTAAATGAATTAATTTTATAATTAAAAACCGAAATGCAATAAAATACATTTTGGTTTTTGACTGAGACTTGATAAGGTCGCTAACTGCTTTCAATATAAAGTTATCAGTGCCATCGTCAACTATTACACAGTTTCAAACAATTCAGTTATTTCTTTAGCCTTTGTATTTATCGTTATCGTGAAAAAAAGCAAAGAGATATGGAAATAAAAAAGTTATTTTGATTGGCAGTATGAAGGGTGGTGCTACACTTGTTATATATTTTTTTCATGTACGTTTTCGTGTGAAACGCACGAATGTTTTTAGTATTTTTACAATCCCAAAATAAAATCGCTGCGGCGAAAAACGCAGTGAAAAACAACACTTGCATAGGCTTAGGCCTATATCCAACGGGTAGTTCCTTTGTGACAAAATTCTAACATAAATACCTTATATAATTATTATGAAACTTAAAAATAAGATAAACATCTCAAAGTAAGATGGATTTAGGTTATAAGACTATTTCTCAAAACCTTCAAAGCCTTAAGTGAAACATGTAACATATTTTATTTTCTGTAACAGACGCATTAATCTAACACATAGTAATTGTTATCAAAGAATCATCTAAATAAAAACAATCTAAACTCGTCAGAACTACCAGTGGATTTCTTGTTGTTGTATTCATAAATCTCATTACCACTGACTGTCAGTTAGAAGTTTTAATAAAGATATATTTGTTGGAAACTAAATATTCATCTAAGTCGAATGAAACCAGTATGCAATCTTCTTAATCAGAGTTATAGTAAGAAAGGAAGTGATTCGTGGAAAGCCATAAAACAACTGTTAAAATTAAACGTCAGTAATCATTAAACTAGAACTGAGATACTTTGTTCAGAAGAGACGAGTGCAGGTGCTACTTTATAACAGTAATGTTTGATGAAATAAAACGGTTTTCAAAATCTTTACTAACTTAATTACTGTGTCTTATTAAATAGTTACAAATCTACAATTTTGTCAAATAAAGCAATAATTACAAGTCAAGAAATTAGTACATTATATATAATCTTCTTCTACCTGGCAATTTCCCAGCTATAGCCAGGGTCTGCCTTACATATTATAAATAGTTTTGGCTATTTGTTTTTACGACCGGCCGCCAGCCTGACATCAACCCTCTTTTGGGAATCAGCATTAATCAGTGATGTCTAAAAACTCTTAGAAAGTACATATGATTCGGAAAAATCACATTGGTAGTTGCCCGGGCCAGGATCGCATCATGCATGAGAGGCGGGCCTTTTAACCACTAGGCCACCACTAACTAGTACATTATATATAATATATATACATATATATGACCCTCCAATTTATTAGGCAATCGATCTAATATAAATTATATGGAGGGTCATCTTACCACTTTCCTAATGTCAGTGATGAGTGTAAGTTATTCTAAAACAGAGGTCAAATGTCCAGCAAAACCAAATTACATACTTAACGGGAGGGATAAATGATGGTCGTGAAGGGATC